TAAATAAACACCATCTAAATTCTGGTATAAATTCTAACCAGCCATGCTGCAGATGAAATAAACATGTCTCCCTTCCAACCAGAATGGCCCTGTCAGCCAGACCGGAGAACATTTAAATCAGCTCAACTTTCTACAACTGTCACCAACTCCTGATCAAGACAGTAAATCCAGGCTCCGAAGGGTTTGCCTATCAATGGGAACCCAGAATATACGGGTCTGCCGCTCAACTTCAGCACACTTACATTCTCTGAGATTGAGAAAAGTTGACTTACGTTATGCTTTATGTGCACACGCCCACATAGGCTCTATCTTGCTCTCTCTCTCTCTCTCTCACACAGACACACACAGAGAAATACGGACGCTCCCCGACTCACGCAAGCATTCTGTTCCAGAACGCCTTGCGTAACTCGAATTTTGCATAAGTCGGGAACGTATACCCGACCATTATGCAAAAAAACCCCAAAACCACTTTCTAGCTTATGGAACGTACGGAACTTTTTCCATAAGTGCGGGTTTGCGTAACCCGGGGAGCGTCGGTAAAGAAAAATTGTACTGCTAGCTAACAAAAACATACCACTGCCCCACGCAGCCAAAGAAGTGAGGGGGGGGAGGCCGGTGGGCTAATGAAGGTCCCCTGCTGAAATGTTTTCCTAGTGCTTTGGCCAACCTAGTTCTCAAAGTGTCTCAAGTGAGGAGACTCCTCCCGCCTGCCTTTGCAGACTGAGTTCTTTTGCTGGGAGGCTCCATTCCTCAATGCAGCCACATCTCAGAGATACACACAGACACGGCATTCTCCACTGCCGTCTCCAGGTGCTCCTTGTAAGCCCACCCCTTTCACACCGAAACACCATGCCAGCTTGTGGACATTTTGTCCCGAGCTTTAGCACCTACACTAGACTAGGCAGGTGTATAGGACGTTGCTGAGATTGTTATCCCTGAGTGAAGCAGGAGAGATTTAGGGTTTGGTGCAAGCTCAGGATTTCACATGGTTTTCTCAGAAAGCATGATGGTTTCATTCCAAGTTTGGCTTTGTTACGGTAAACCTGTATTGACAATCCACCAGGGTCAGCTCTCCCCACAGGAGCCCAGTGAGTTTTGTAAAGTTCAAACCAGCAATAAAATCTCAGATAAACTGTTGCATGAAGTGTAAGGTACAGAAGGGATTTGTGACAAGAAGAAGAAGAAATGTAAATGTCTTCTCCCTCTTCCCAGCTTTCCTAACACTCATTTCACACAAGCATCAGCGGCTCCCAAACCTACGGACAACAGGTGTCTTATTGCCACACTTCCAAACTGTCCACCCTGAGCCTACGCCACAAGGAGCTCACCCAAGGTATCCTCACTTGGAATTCCCCTGCACCCTGCGTGACCAATCGCCAGGATGCCTTGCAATTAACTTTAGTGCACTAGCAAGTGCTGCTGAATGCAGTGTCCTCTTGAGAGCTCGTGTTAATCCCTTTCAGGGGTGGTGGCTTCCAAAATAAAAAAGCTCCTGCTAGCAAAGACACCCAGCGCAGTTACCAACCCTGTAGGGCTCCCGATGACAGAGAAGGCCTTTCTGCAGCTCTCTGATCCATGCCATCTACAGTACACAGCTTCCTCCATGTTCCTTTTGCAAAGTCTTGGAGGACAGTACTAGCTAATCAAGTGGCAGAATCCATAATCAGCATGGATGCATGCTCCTGCTAACCCAATTCCTAATGAGGATATGAAGGATGGGGCATCAGAACAAAACCCACTGCAGAACTGAAGGGCATTCCAGAAATACTCGGCTCCACGAGACGGAGAGAAAGAACTTCCCTTCTCTCTCCCCTGCTGTGGCTGTGTTTGTCGAAATGATTTACTGCACCCACCGAGCTGGCGACAGGCTGAGGAGCCCCGACAACCCTGAGGATGGAAGATACTGTAGCATCGCACGCTCATAACACAATCTCAGCAAGTCACTGGAATGGAATGCATCAGATTCAATTCATTAGGACTGATAGCTCCCTGAATGGGGCTGAATAATTGATGGGCTGTAGAAGCTTTTAAGATGTTCTGTACGCTCAGAAGACTGAGTGTATTATTTTTTTAAAAGCTAACACACACAGCAAAACCCCAACGAAGGTGATCTGAGCAAAGGTTAGATGTTTTAAGCCTTTGTGTTTACACTGTCAATTCTTGCTCCATTGCTTGTAATGGGAAATAGATACGCTATGGAGAGGGGCAGCAGAGGGAGCAGCAGGAACTGAACTAATTCACGGGGGCTGCAGTAGCTAACCCAGAAGGATGAGAATTGATCTTGGACCCATGTAACGTTTGCACTGGAAGGCCACGGTCTGGCCGAAGAGCCCATGGTGTGTCCAATGGAGCAAGACGCTTCCCTGCTTGGCTTATCGACCTTCATCCCACAGCAGCAACGTGCTCAAAATTATTCGAGTGCGACCTCTGCACTGCCTGGGCCCCCAAATGTGCCACCCATGGGGAAGAAGTTGTACATGTGCAACTGAGCACTGGGTGCTCTAGGTGCCCCCAGGGCTGTGAGTGGGAGGCAGACTAGTCAGTGCAGCCGAACGGTCCAGAAGAGCATGGGAGGGGGAGGTGCCTCATGCAACATCCGTCAAGATTGCCTGGGACTGGCAATTGGCAAAGGCTTCGGCAACAAACATCTCACAGGCAGGAGATTGGGGATCTTCCAGCAGTGTTCCTGACTGTTACCCTTTCTCCCCTCCCCACAGCTGGGCTCCCCAAGACCAAACCAGGCTGAGGTGACTGTGCCCTCTTGGCCTCCCACCCTAGTAAAACCCAAGGATGGCGGGACAGCTCTGACTCTCTGGTGTGCGTGTGTCAGAGAGAGAACGCCAAAAGGACAATGCTGAAATTAGCCAGCTGGGCTGCTGGCTACAACAGGCACCTCCCTGAAAGTCCCCTGCAACTAGCACGGGAGACTCAAAGAACTGGCAGGACACCAGGGTAGGAGAGTGAGTCCCCTGTTACAGCCAGGGGCAGCTTTAGAGCTCCCAGCCTCCTACCTTTCACGGTAACGTGGACGCTCTGGCTGATGGAGAGCTGTGGCTGGATCAGGACGCTGCAGAGATACTCCCCTTCATCCATACCCTTCTGCACATCCATCAGCTTAAGGGTCCCGTTCTCAAAGACCACCTGGCGGTGGTTATCCGGCAGCAGCAAGGCGTCCTTGTACCACTTGATGGAATAGTATGGATACCCGATCACCCTGCAGTTGATGAAGGTGTCCCTACCCGCCACTGCCGTTATATTCTTCATGGCTCGGATACTCGGGGGACCTAAATTGTGGGAAGGATGAAAGAGGCAGGCTAGGTTAATTCCGAAGAGCAATTTGTTTGCACACAGATCTGTTGCTATTTCAGAGCACATTTCATAGGCAAATGAGGCAAGATAAACACTTAGGGTTTGCTCGTGTTTGGGAAGGGGGAGGCAACAGCTCAAATATGGGCGAGTCCCCCCCCATCCTGCACACACTCAGAAATTGCAGAGCCAGCTTTTGACAAACTTTGGCACCAGTCACTGGTGCACAAAGGGTGGGATATTCCAAAGCGCTGACACGGCCTAGGAGCACGCGCCCCACTGAAAGTCACTGGGACATGTCCTCCGGAACCACTTAGGTGCTTTTTAAAATCACAGCCAAATTGTGTGGGTGTCGCTTCCATGCTCAGCTGTGAAAGTTCTGTCCCCGGGGCACTCTCTGCATACCTCTGATCCCACCCCTGCTAATGCTAGGGACAGACTATGTTTCTGCGCTGCTTCCCTAAGCTCCATTCAGCTTCTAACACTCCCAGCTGCCCTGCATGTCTCTTTAAAAACAAAGCTACCCCTCTTTTGCGGAAGGAATATGCCGGGAGCAGGACCTTACGCCACCAACCTCAATTGCAAACTATTTTACCTCAACTTTAAAAATCAGCCTGTTTTTTTTAAGCTAAAATTCCCCGCTTAGCAGTTTCTATCTGGCTTTGAGACTGGTTTATGGATCAGGAGAACACTACACTTGAGTATTTCAACACCATGTTTCTTAGATCAACAATCATATTGTTCTCCCGTTTATCAGCTGTTGCCTAAATGAAACAGCAAACTAATACTCCACCTACAGTGTAAAGATCAACTATATCTTGGCTCCCAGCCTGAGGTGAACTGCAGAACTCCCAGCTTATCAGGTGTGCAGGACGCTCTTACGGAAGATCCATTCCCTTGGCATGTAAAACAAACGCATTCAAAAGCAGTTTGCTGCTTTCGCTTTTTAATGATTTTTCCTAACTCTCCTACCCACTTTCGCCAAAAGTTACTGAGAAGGGATTCCACAATTGGGGGAGTTTTTCTGGAAACTCTGAAAATAAGATGAGATGCGGGGGAAGGCAGAAGAGGGGGACGGTGCTCTGGTGACGCTTTCTCATGTTCTGGTAAAGCCACCACTTCTAATGCTCCAAAGCAATTGGGAAATAATATAAAAAATGGATTTAAAAACTCTCTTTCTGCCAGCCGTTGCTCTGGGCTGCCGATGGGATACGACTTCAAAAACGGAGAGTCCATCAAAAGAAAACACCCGGCAAAGAAAAAAGCATCTTATAAGAGGCATCAGGCACAAAGTTCTCCCCTGAGCACTGAAGAGGAAAAGGGCTGCACACCCCCAGACAGTTCTGGGGTGGAGTGGAAACAATCCAGGCAACTAGAGCTCCCAACACTGCCTGCCTCTATCTTGACTCAAATTCAGCATTGGTAGCTTCAGACCCAGCTAACTCACATAGAGCAGCCATTACTCGGGAACACACCCCCATGCATTGTACTGGCCATGGAACGCTGGCTTCCTGACCAGCAGAAAAGTAAGGGTGTGGGTGGATGTGTAAAAGTGGGAGTAAATTTGACAGAGGACTTGGAAAAGTTTTAAAAATTTGCTCCTGATAAACAGCCCCTTGGCCCTGTCGGAGAGATGTGCACATACCCAGCCTAAGGAACCCTGCCTTCTCATCTAGGGATTTGTAGTTAAAAAACAAAAACAAAAAGTTCAACAACAAACTTTACTAGTGGTTCCCATTGCTAAGCGATGAACTTGCTCCAGATTTAGTGATAAACGGCTGCCAAAGCCCAGCTTCCCCGGACTTCCAGACAAACACCACTAGATCCATGGCAAACCGGAGACACAGATGAACACGGCCATTCAAACTTGCTTCTGGTAGATAAAATAATGTTACTTTTGGCTCTGTCTAGTTCATAACAGTTAACGCTTCTAATTGCATAGGTAACGGTCACCGGCTAATACTGTACCTTGTGTCTTAGAATTTTGCCCACCAGAAGTCCCTGTAATGCAAAGAACAGCATGCTCCAACCGTAACAAGAGGAATGATTAACAGCACAATGGATTTTAGCTATGACAAATCAAAGAGAAAATTCAGCTCATTTGTCATGATTTAACAAATTGGCTCGCCATCGGGTTTAATACACGTCCCAACGCCTATGGGCAGTTAGTGCTGGGAAGGAAGGACAGAGTCAGAGTTAGGAGGTGGACAGGCCAGAGGTGAGGCAGGGCCCCAAAGCACTGTGCAGTTAAAACAAGTAGGGGAAAGTTAGGCAGAGGCCGTGCAGGGCACATTCCCGCTGGCCATCACAACTGCTCTCACACTGGGACTGGGCACGTGATCAGCTGGAGCCCCTCTCCAGGGGAACAGACATTTACCAACTGCACTTTGATCAACAGCATGAGAGCAGAGTGGGTGAGTGCACTGGCTCTCATCTCTGGGGAGCCGGTTCCAAATCCTCCCAGGGCTGTGGTGGGAATGAAATTGGTGGCTCCTCCCAAATGCAATAGTTGGTGCAGTTGGCAATATCTGCTCAGAAACCAATGACTGGTATTGCTGGGGGTGCTGCAGAGGACACTGCAGGTTAGGACCAAGATGCATTAGGATTAGAAGGGAGGAGAAGAGGGATTTCTCCCCACTGCCCAAATTGAAATAGTAGGAGGTGGAGCAGATCAGAGTGAGTTGCACTGGCAAAGCCGGGGCAGTGGGGCAGGACTGGAAGGGGGGTGCTGCAGGTCAGGACTGGGTTGCATTGGCAGGGTGGGGCATATGAAGCTCGCACTCTTCCTAACTTCCGGCAGCAAAATCCTGTACTTTGATGAGCGTTAACTTCTCCCACAAAATTTGCAGAAAAAGAAATGGAAAGGACATGCAGCTTGAAGGTGGAAATTGCAAAGAATTTCTCTGGCATGTGACAGCTGCCAGCTCTGGGGGAGTCTGGATCTGCAGTCTGCCCCAATGTAGCCCTGGAACGTAGCCCCTGAGGAGCAGGGAACCACGGGGCTTCCTCAGTCAGCACCTCTGCAGCACGGTGACCCTGACAACGCCCCAGGAACAGTGCAGAGCCACTCTCCGAGAGCTGGCCCACGAGACAGGGCTCTGCTTTATAAACTGAGCCCTTTGCCTCACTTGGTTACAAAATGTTTGGAATGGGAGAGCCAAGCACCTCGGGACGGGTAGCCAGGCCAGGCCGGGGCCCATCCAGCCCAGTCTCCGACAGCGGCCAGCACCAGATGCTTCAGAGGAGGGTGCAACCCATTTCCCACTGCTGAAGCTTAGCTTCGGGAGAGCAGCGTGGGGTTCACCACACTTCTCAAGACTGTCGATGTCCACAATAGCCACGTAAACACCCGATTCTTCTGGGATTCCTGCTAAGCTTTTGGCCTCAATATTATCTTGTGGCAATGAGTTCCGTAGGCTCCCCACGTCCTGCTTCACTTGATGAACCACGGGGAAGGTTTGTTCAACCAAGTGCATGCTGATGATTTGAACAACTTTAAAAGTACAGCAGGGCAGTGGGGGAGCTGGGTGGAATGGCACAGAAGAAGAGAGATTCTACCAATAAACAGAACAGAACAAAGCCCAGTATGAGTCCTATGCTGATATTTAAAAGTAGACAGGCACCTCTTACGTTTATTCGCGCTTGGTATTCGGCGCTGCCCACCGAGTTCCGCGCGGCGCACCGGTACACCCCTCCATCCTTGATCTGCGGGCTGGTCACGTTCATGTGGCTCACGGTGGTGCCGTCCGACATGGTGTACTGATTGGTGCGGTGCCCGTTGTCCCTCTGGATGGGCTCATCGTCCAAGGCCCAGGTGATGGTGGGTGGGGGAGCGCCTTTGGCAGCACACATCAGGGAGAACTGCTCGCCCGGGTTGACCACTTTCTCGCTGAAGGAGGAGACGATCCGGGGGGTCCCGTCTAAGAGAGACACCCGGTGAGGGGCATGTTAGGGCTTAGGCTGGGGCCCTCGCAAGCAGCTGCGTTTAGGCACAAGCTTGACTGAGGGTTTTAAACACTGCTTAGACGGTCCGTTCTCTGGGGGCAGGGGCATCCTGTCCAGTTTGTCCAGGGCCCAGCACAACGGGGTTCTGGTCCAGGGCTGTGGTTCCTAGTGCTTCCACGACACAGATAAACAACAACAAACCTACGGGGTGAACGTGCCTGACACGCCATGGGCCCCACCATGCCCAGCCTGCATTCCCCAGGGAGGAGGGCTGCTGCTTTCAAAGGGGCTGGTGAGAACCGGGGGGACATCAGATGAGACATAAAAGGGAGCGTGAGAGGGGCAGGGACACAGGGCCCATCCTGCCCCCAGCACATCCGCACGAGGGAAGGACACTGCTTGGGAGGCAGCGGAGGGAGAATGCCTTAAGGGAGGATGGGCCCATACCCAAGGCCAGGGCACCACAATGAGCCCCATCTGGGCAGCTCCTCCTTTCCCCACTGTCGCTTATTTTGCTTTCTTGGGACAGACCGTCCCTGCAGAGGACAGGGCCCAGCTATGGTTCTCTCCCTGCAGTTACTACAGCAGCTTACACTAAAGTCCTGGCCACCTGTCATCAAAAGCGCCCTGGGACCTTCACTAAGGGACAGCACCTTCCTGGCCACACCATGTCTGGTAAGTACATTCTGCCTCACCCAACTCCTCCTGCAGACGGGAATTCTTCTTCCCTCCCTTTCCTGAAATACTGGGCAGCATTGCTAGGTGCTGTTAAATAACCATTGGTTCCCCCCCAGAGACAGCTGCATTTCAGTGCTGGGTTGAGTGACCCTTACATCACATGGGCATTGCATGGCATAGTTCAGTGAATTGTTGTGTAGCACCTTGGGAGCGCTGGGAGCATCCAAGCACTTGGGCAAAGCACAGGGAGCGCTTGGCATAGCAGAATCTCTTCGCTTCCAGGTGCAGAAGTGGGCAAACCTTGCCAGCACAGGATGCAGAGGGGTGTGTGGAGACAGCTCTGGAGCCCTCTGGCCAGTACACACAGGCCAGGAAGCAGGGGAGTAGGGTCTAATTAAGGGGCAACATTCTCCTCTCCTAGGGATGCTGTAAATCTCCCCTGCACTTGTTCTGCCCACAGAACTTCCAGGGGTGGCAAAGGACACTGGAGAGACCCTCTGGCTCCCCTCCTCACCGTCATGCCCGGGAAGCCGACTCACCCTCCAACGCGATGAGGGAGAAGTCCTGCGCCGTTTGGGCTTTCCGGGTGGCGAAACACTGGTAGGCCCCAGAGTGGCTCTTCTGGGCGGCAGTGATGAGGAGGGTCTCGTTGCTAATCCCCCGGATGGAGATGTAGTCGTCCAGCACCACCAGGTCTGTGTTGCGGTACCAGCGGAGGGCATACTCGGGCGAGCCGCTGAGGGCGCAGGAGAGGATGACTGTGCTGCCAATGCCGGTCTTCAGCTTCTTTGGCGTGAGGCTCACGTGCAGAGGGTCTGTGCAAGACAGGGTGGGAGGCAAGAGAAAAAAACGCTCAGGGCTCATGGCCTGGGGAAAGGCTCTAGCAATGGTGGAGGGCCCCAGGGAAGCCGAGTGGCGCCAGCCGAGTGGCCCCATCCCACTGAGCAGCAGCAAGGTCTCCCTTCTACTCCCTGGGCTGCCGCAGAAGGAGGCCAGCAAGCTGCCGTGGGGAAGGCTGCAAGTGACCTGCCGCAGCGAGCGCAGCAAGGCCTTGGCTTCACTGGGAACCAGGTGTGTTTTCAACCCGCGCTAGTGAGCACACGCTCAAGTCCGAGTGTAGACAAGGCCATTTGCATTCAAACGTGTGTTCGCTGGCCGGGGTCTGGAGTCTGCCTCGACCAGCAAACTCCTGGGAAGGGCGGACCAGCTGCAGGCCCAGCCCCCAGCTCCTAAGCCTTTCCATTAGCCACTGAGTCGAGAGCAAGAGTTGACTTGGCGAGGGGAAAGGGGGCTTGCTGGAAGCAGCAGCCTTACACAAAACCTACCCCCGATGGGGGGGCCCGGAGGAGCCATCACAGCGCAGGGGGCAGGGCGAGGCTGGCGTGGCGGCCGACACCGGCTCGGCGGGGAGATGGAGCGCTCCTTGCACAGCACACTCTGAGAGTCCCTTGATTAACGTGGTCTCTCTCCCTGCTCTCCCCGGGAAGCATTAGCCTGACTGCACGTGAAATGTCAGTGCACAATAAGCCAGGTGTGTCCCTGACCTTCCTCAGAGTCTGCAGCAAGGGCCCCTCATCTTAATGTCACCCCCACACACGCTCCTCTGCGTGGTGCGGGCAACATGCCCACCGGCCAGGAGCGCGGGGGGGAGGCAGTGCCTCCCCTGTGTATCGTTTTCGCTCTGACTGCACAGGAGCTGCCCTGGCAGGCGTGAAGAGGCTGTCTGCGTTTGGAAGTAGACATCACGGCGGGCTGACGTGCTAGGTGTGACAGGCCTGCTCTGAGCAGAGACTTCCCTGGAGCTGCTCACTAAGCATGCTGCTGTGTTGGGTGGGGCCTCCCCTTCTGATCCAGCCCATGCACACCCGCCTGCTCCTCCACAAACACGCAGAACATGCTGAGCGTCGCTGCAAGGGCTGGGGCAAACATGCCCCCAGGGGCATGCTACACAGCTGGGTTACTGGGGACAGAGGAGATCCCCAGGACCAAAGCGTGCAATAAATATATGCCCTCCCCAGACAGAATTTACTGGTTGGCTGGAATTTATTCAATATAAAAATCAAACAAAACACAACATGCAGGCCCCTAGTATAAAACTAACACTAATAACCCAACCAGTCACACATTGAAAGGCTCTCAACGTAGCGCTCTGGTTTTCCACCAATCCCGGTGTGTTCCCTCCATTAAAATCACAAATCTGTGGCTTGCTGAGATATTTTGCTGTGATATAAATAAACAAACTTCTTTCAAATGCTCTGAGCTGTGCATGTAACACCACACTGTGCTCCAGCACACAGCACAGTTAACGTCCGGAGCCTGCAATGTACAAAGCTTTGTACAACAGCCAGGGCCAAGAGGGCTATTTCATTTTGATCACCCATCCATCTCATGCAGTTCTGGAACGGAGACCAGCAATAGCCATGCTAGAATCCCCCAGAACGGCCTGCCCCGTGCAAATGAACAGTCCTGGGATGACCTCAGGCGTGTCTCCAGATTCCTGAGCAGAACTTTGGAACAACCCAAGAGGGGGCTGCCCCCAGACAATCCATCCCAGGTTTAACAGAGGGCCAAGGAATGCCGGGCCAGGACTTTGGGAGGTTAGAGAGGACGCCCACCCCCTCCCCCGTGGCATGATCAGTGAAATCCAGACTTGCGCACCTCACTATTGCTAATGTTTAAGGAGAAGCCAGTAAAATGGGCCATAATGCTAACACATAGAACATAACCCAAGGCATATGAAACCCACGCAGGCCAAGGCATCTGGGCAGCCAAACCCGACATGCAAGAGAGAAGAGAAATCAAAACTCCGTTGCAGCACCGGGCTATCCGGCAGCAGTCACGATTCTCCTTTAACGCCCACTTTGGCGGATTGTTCAGGCTCTGGGGAGTCCAGGTAGCCCCTTTCTGATCTGAGCAGAGATGGGCCTGAACCGTGGACATCAGATCCAGACTGGAATCCCACTTGACCCAACGTCTGGAAGTGGGATCCACCGTCTTGGCCCATGTCCAGCTCCAATATTAATAAAATGAGATGAACAAAACCCAGGATTACTGTCTCTGAAGAGATGGATGGATACTTTCTAGAGATGTGCCCACTGCCCCCAGTCCCCAGATGTGCCCACTGCCCCCAACCCCCAGATGTGCCCACTGCCCCCAACCCCCAGTCCCCAGATGTATGATGGAGAGGCCCATAACTTTACATTCTCCATTGTTTGGTCGGCTCTCACCTACGACTGTGAGGGTCCCGGTGACCTCTGCCGACCCGAAGGTGTTTGTGACCTCACAGATGTACGTCCCACTGTCCTCCACGCGCAGGTCACTGATTGTCAGTCCTGTGATACGCTTGGTCCACCTGCTGTCTGCAGGGAGTGGGCGCCCGTCCTTGATCCACCGGATGGCTGGGTTCGGGTACCCGGAGGCGATGCATGGAAGCTCCACCAGCTGGCCTGCCTTTACCTCCCTGGACTGAAAGCCATCTAGGATGGTAGGAATGGATTCTGCTGGGTCTAAGAGCAGAGAGCAAACTGCTGAGAAGCAGATATGGAGCAAAGGCCGACACACCCTTCTTTCAGCCTGCACCATCTGGCTGGTGCATTACGTGGGCAAACTAGAGTGTTTGGTTATAAACACTGGGGACCCAGGAGTCTTGTCTGAGCCATCACCAGAACAGCGATACCGGGGAAAGCCTGTGCTTAGTGACCTGGGGGCAGCCACAATCACAGAACTCAGCTACAAACTCTCCAGACATAGGCTCTCCTCCTCTGAAGACCCCTGGGTATCCTAGATGGCAGGACAGCCCATGGAATGGGACAGCCAGCTGCGGTCCTGGGTCCAGAATGAACACATGCTGCTGCTTTCAGGCTGGCCAGTGCAACTCACCCAGCCTACAATCTCAGTTGGGGCCCTGCCAATTGCAGCACGGCTTGCATGCATAGTGGGGTAGGGACAGGTGTGAG